TCTCTCTCTCTCTCTCTCTCTCTTCAGCAAGTACATGTGCCCTATGGTGAAAGCCTTAAAAAAAAATGCCAGGGCCAACAGATGGCATAGTGGTTGCATTGCTGGACTCCATGTGGCCAACCACAACTCAAGTCCCAGACCCAGTGGCTTGAAACTCATGCCAAGCACGTAGGTGTGTGCATGCCCAAGATTCCAGGAGGAGAACGGAGGGGAAGGGATTGCAGAATGGCCAACCCCCCTTGGGAGTGAATTCTCACTTTCCTTCCACTGCCCCTGTCTCTCTCTCTCTCTCCAGTGAGCACACAAGGCAAAAACCTCTACAGAAATAGAAAATGCCCAATAAAGTACAATGAGAATACAATGAGTTGAAGGTTAGGCAGTGGTTGTTTCAGGTGCCATCTTGGTTCCAACTGGTTCAAAATCAGTCTTTCAACCAGCTCCTGTTTTGTCAGGCTTTATTGCTTTATTGTAGGTGCTAGAATTTCCCTTGCCTCACACCCCTCCTGTCTCGGATATAAGAGAAACTCTCACGTCTTAGAACCATGGGGAGGTTGCTTCCCACAGGGAGCTATTTAGACTGTCTTGAGGGCCCCTGTTCTTTGAGCACTGGCTTCAGGCCAACATTTGGAACTTGGCCACACCACCAACAGCCCCCTCTCTTGAAGCTCAGCCAGATTTCCCAGCATGTGAATCCTTCTCCACTTACTCCATGTCCTCCCTCAGTCCTCACCCAACCCCTAACAACTCAGAAGCTTCCGGCCCCAATGTTTGGCCCAGTCAGTTTGGAACTTGCTAATCAAGGTTAACTCTGAAAGAGACCTCAAAAGAACAGGGAAATGAATGGGAAAAAGGAGCGTGGAGTTGCACTCATTCATTTTCAGGGGGAAATAATCTGGGTGGGAAATTGCAGGAAGAGGTAGGCAGAAAGATTTCAAATGTCAAGAGTCACTCTCCTGACATGCATGCAACTTGTTTCCGCCTCTACCAAAGGCAGATGGAGCTGACCTCAATCACAGCAGAAACCTAGGTTAGACAGTGAACAAGTACCCAGAAAAAGAACAGATATTGGGTGTTACTGGAGAGATCAGCTGAGGTCCGCAGATACAGGTACCCCACGTCCTCTGCCCAGCTCTGGGGTAAAGGAACAGCCACTGTGTGGGAGAGGAGGGCAGGGCTGATGTCAGCAGAATCCTGGCAGTCTCTATACTGATTGTGAAAATATCAGGCGGTTGTGCCAAGGGGAGCGAGGGTAATACTGGATGGGCCTGGCACTCTCTCTGAGTCAGCCTAATCTTAACACTCATGAACTCACTCGTCTGGAACCCCTGACACCAAACCCCCTTTTAGCCCTCTGTTTCACTTGCCACATCATCATTTTCTGGCATCCCCTCCAACCATGCCCTTCTCTCCCAGGCCATAGCTCTGGAAGCGAGGCACCGGGCACCTTCCGATCAGCCTCTATTTTGCTTGCTCACTGCAGTTGGAAACTGGAGCCAGAGAAGGCGGAGGACTGGGCCAGGCTGCCCTGTGATGCTCTCACTTCCCGCTTCTATTGATCAGCCCCTCTTTGGAGGAGAGCCTCTTCCCAAACACTCCTTCCCTGCCAGGATTCCCTTAACTCATGCCCAACACAAGCTAGAGGAGCATAGCGATGAGAGGCGGAGTCCTCCCCAAAAGTGCGTCTGGGCCCCCTTTCCTAGGATCTCTCCCATGGTTTATGCGATATGCAGTTGTTACACACAGTCTCTGAGTTGGCCTGGATTTACATCTTAGCTCTACCACTTATGAACTGTATTACTTAACTGCTCTGTACCTTAGATTCTCTTTTAATTTTTTGAGGATTATTTTTTCAGAATTATCTTTTTTTTTTTTTTTTTGAGAGGTTTTTGCTATAGGGCGCGTGCGCTCGCCAGACAGACAGAGAGAGACATAGAGACAGAAAGCGAGAAATCACCCCCCCCAGGGGGGATGGTCACGCCGCAATTCCTTCTCCTCCATTCTCCTCTCGGGATCTTGGGCACGCACGCACACGCGCCCAGCGTGAGTTTTAAGCCACTGGGTCCGGGACGCGAACCGCGGTTGACTACGTGAGAGTCCAGCGACACAGCCATTACACTAACTGCTGGTTCCCCAGAATTATCTTTATCAATTTTATTCATCACCTTTTTTTTTTTAATTTGATCAACAAGAGAGCGAGAAAGTGAGCTGCCAAGTTCAGGACTCGAACCACAATCGACCATCTTGGAGTCCAGCACCTCAACCACCACACCACTTGCCGGCCCCTCTGTACCTTAGATTCTTGATCTGCAAATTGGGGATGACAATAATGCTACTTCACAGGATAAGTCTAGGGATTAAATGAATAAATACATATAAAGTGATTGACCTGTGGTAAGCAATCCAGAAATGCTGGGAAAAGTCATACTACACATATAAGCACAGACACATACGTACATAGTATCCACCATTTTTATTTTGACATGTAATGTTCTGTTTTATGCTGTCACTTAACCATTTCATGTGCTTCTACTCACTCATCCTTCGACAGCTGCATATGTCCCAGGATTTAGGATGCTAGTCTGCAAATAACTGAATAAATCAACCCATCAGTACTTCTCAACTCACACAGAAAATTCAACCAGAGTTAGTCATTCTGGGGACAGCAGAAGGCATGACAATTGAGGCGCTGGACTCCTCCATGGCGGACCACAGTTCAAGTCCTAGACCTGGCAGCTTGCTTTCTCATTTTCGCTCTCTTTGTTTCTCTGTGGTAAGCACACATGCCCTGTAGCAACTTTTTAAAATAATCATAATAATAAATAAAATTAAATAAATAATTGTTTGGGGGTTTTTTGGAGAAGTTTTCGCTATAGGGCGCGTGCACTCGCCAGACAGACAGAGAGAGACAGAGAGACAGAAAGCGAGAAATCACCCCCCAGGGGGGATGGCCACACCGCAATCCCTTCTCCTCTAGGGATCTTGGGGAAGCGACATTGCACTCGGCGAACCGCGGTCGACTACGTGGGAGTCCAGCGACATAGTCATTACGCTAACTGCTGGTTCCCAATAAATAATTGTTAAAACGGTTAATTATTGGGCCCGGCAGATGGTGTGGTGGTTAAGGAAGCTGGATTCCCACATGGCCAACCGTGGTTCAAGTCTCAGAACCCTCAGCTTGCTTTCTCACTTTCCCTCTCTCTCTCTCTCTCCCTCTGGTCAAATTAAAATAATAATAATAATAAAGTTAAGTGAAGAATTTTTTTTAAAGGGTTAGTAATTCTGGTGGCATGGTGGCTAAAGGTGCTGGACTCCCACATGGCCAACCACGGTTCGAGTCCCAGACATGATAGCTTGCTTTCTCACTTTCTCCTCTCTCTCTCTCTCTCTGTCTCTCTCTGATTAACTGGAACATAGTGGGACCAGCGGGTGGCATAGTGGCTATGTAGCTGGATTCCCATGTAGTTGACCACAGTTCAAGTCTCGGACCCGGTGGCTTAAACTCATGCTGGGTGCATGTGCATGTGTGCCCAAGATCCAGAGAGAAGAATGGAGAAGGGATTGCAGCATGGCCATGGGGGGAGGGGGGGAGGGATTTGTCTCTATCTGTCTCTGTCTTTCTGGCAAAGGCACACGCCCTATAGCGAAAACCTCTCAAAAAAAAAAAAAAAAAAAAAAACCTGGAAAATGGCAGTAACAATAATAAAGTTTAAAATAATTCTTTTTTTAAAAAAGGGGGAACCAGCAGGTAGTGTGGTGGTTAAGGGCGCTAGACTCCCACATGACCGACCACGATTTGAACCCAGACCTGGCAGTTTGCTTTCTCTCTCTTTCTCTCTCTCTCCCCCTCTCTGGTCAAAAAAGGAAAGAAGGAAGGAAGGAGAAAGAAAGAAAGTTAAATAATTAAGGGTTATTCTAACTAGCCTAACCTATTCTCATCTTCCCTGCAAGTAGATATTATACAAATAAGTCGGTTTCAACCATGCCACTGAATCATAAAAGAATGCCAAAGTTGGAAATAGTCATGTATATGATTTAGTATAGTGATTCTCAACCTTTGGTGCTCATTAAAATCACCAGAACATCTTAAAAAAAAAAAGTTGGTGTCTGCGCTGCCCCCCTCAGAGATTATAATTATTGAGTCTGGGGCCAAAGCATTTTAAAAATCTGCCTCATGTGATTCTGTTGACCAAGACTGAGAAGCACTGATTTAAGCCAATCTTCTTATTTTTCTAAAGAGGTAACTAAAATCCAGAGTGTGTGAGCAATTTGCCCCAGATCATCAGCAAATTGGTGCAAGGTGCACCAAGACTGTTCCAATCCCGAGATTATGTTGATGATGTTTATGTTTCTTCTTGGAGTTAATCCCAGAAGCATTTCTCTTCGGTTCCGAGAGGCGTTGTATAATTTACCTTTTTCTTTGGCAGGAGCACTTATGCTTCTGCTAAGACTGAAATGGATTCACATTCTGTGACCACAAAAGGACAAGGATGGAGTTGCATGCTCACCACACATAGCCCGCCAAATTAGCAAAGCTCCCTAGGAGGCCGCCTGAAGGGCGTAAAACGCTTCTCCACAGCGCTCCCCCTGCGCCGAGAGCTCGGCGTCGTGGCGCGGAGACAAGCGGGGTGAGAAAAGAGCAGAGAGGAAAGCATTCCCAACCGGAGGAGGGGAGCTGGGAGCTGAGAACTGTACAGCGCTGCCAGGAGGTAAGGCGAGAGGAGGAAAAGAATTTCAATGAGTCCGGGGAGCCTCTGCTTCCCTCCCCACCGAAATGTGATGGACGTCCTGGCAACGGCCACCGTGGGGAGCCTGAGAGCCAAAGGAGACGTTAAAAACTGGCTCTGCAGTCTGGATACTGAAGAAAACTCCCAACGCTCCCCAAAACGTGAGCTCCCGATAAAGAAAAGCGCTCACTCGCCCGCCCACCACCTAGCCCCTTCCCCGCCAAGACCTGCACTAGCTCCCAGCCCACGTCTCGGAGGGCGGGGCCGGCCTCACGTGACACTGTGGTCACGTGACGCCGGCAGGGCGGGAGGCGAGGTGCGCGTTCCAGCTCCGGGAGCGGAGGGGGCCCGGCGTACCCAGCCCCCAGCCCGACGCGACCATGCTGTCCCGCCTGCTGAAAGAACACCAGGCCAAGCAGAACGAACGCAAGGAGCTGCAGGGTGAGCCGAAGAGCCGGTCGGCCGTGTTCTCGCCCGCCGCGGCCTAGGTCCGGCCGGAGGCCAGACTTCCAGTAACTGCCCAGAGCCAGGGAAGGGCGCCGGCTAGCGGGCAGCGGGTGTGGGGGCGGGGATTAGAGGACTACTTTGCCTGGAATGCCGTCCCCGGGCTAACCCTGGTCCCCGGCACTGCGGTCCCCCTCGGCCACGCCCGCCTTCCCTGACTCCGCGGCACCCTGGCCCCGCCCCTACTCGTGGGGCGCTGCGCCTATTGGTCCAGGGAGCCTCTCGTCCCGAAAGGGGGAAGGCACGCCCCTGCAGGGAGGAGGGTGATAGAGACCGCAGAGCAGACTCATGGAGGCCTGAAACCTGCTTGGGAAAGTCGGGCACTGTTTCTTGAATCTGGGCTGGGAGTCCCGGAGGTACCGAGCCTTCGGCCACGATAGCAAAGAAAGAGTGCCTGGGAGACAGGAGTTCTGGGGGCTGCCACTGAACGTTGCCGTCCCTGAGCGAGTCCCTTCCCCTCTCAGGGTGCCAGTTTCCTCAGTCCTAAAACGGAAGGGCTTACTTTATGTTTCACAAGGTTCTTTTTAGCGCTACCATTCAGAGGTTAGTTGAGATATTCTGGCAACTAATACACTAATAATTAATTGGCGGGGAACCTCTAGCACCACCCTTCAAAAAACCAAGTGTCCACTCCACTCCCTTTTCCCCCCAGAAAAGAGGAGGCGAGAGGCTATCACTGCGGCGACCTGCCTGACAGAAGCGTTGGTGGATCACCTCAATGTGGGGTAGGAATCACGTCCCATCACCACCAGTTCCCAAATCCACCACCACCCTGCCCAAGTTTAGGCAAGGTCTGGCTCTCAGACTGCTCTTTTTTTTTTTTCCCAAGAATTATTTTATTTAACTTTATTCATATATTTGTTTGTTTTGTTTTGTTTTGTTGGAGAGGTTTTTGCTATAGAGTGCATGTGATTGCCAGAAATCCAGACAGAAAGCAAGAAATCACCACCCCCACCACCCCCACCCTGGCAGAGATGGCCACAATGCAATCCCTTCTTCTCCATTCTCCTCTCGGCATCTTGGGCACACCTGCACCCACACACCTCCGGCATGAGTTTAAGCTACGAGGTCTGGGATTCAAACCACAGTCAACTACATGGGAGTCCAGCAACATAGCCATTACCCAACTGCTGGTCCCAATATATTTGTTTGTTTTAATTTGACCAGAGAGCGACAGAGTGAGAGAGAGGGAATGTAAGAAAGCAAGCCACCAGGTACAGAACTCGAACCGCAGTTAGCCATGTGTGTGTCTAGCGCCCATGACCACCACACCACCTGCTGGCCTCTCAGACTGTTCTTGAAGGGGTGGGATGTTCTACTCACTACTAGCCTGTCCCCTCCCCCAGTGAATCTCACAGAGTATGGCTTGAATCAGCTCTGACCCTTAGCAGTGGGCCAGGAGGAGCAGCTGCTGTGGTTGGAGGAGCAGCCAGATTGCCCCCTCCCCACATTAACTTCCTGGCACTTCCACATGATGCCATCTGCCCACTTCCTTTCACCCTTCCAAATCCAGCTGTCACTTCAGTGGGAGGGAGAGCACCCCTACAACCACAGCTTACCCTCTCTTCTCCACCTCCCACCCTTTGGCAAGCTTAGGGAGCAGCTGGCAGGAAAGATGGCACAGCTGGTGGGAATGAGGATAGCATCTATGCCAGGAGCAACGGTATAGCCAGGCTGTCTTTTCCTTCTGGGTCTCCAGGGGCCACCCCTTGCCCCAGCCCCAAATGAAAATGCCAGCAGCAGCCAAGGACTTGGGAAGGAGCAAAGAACATTGGCTCCTGACCCTGGGTGACCCAGCAGAGTGCAGAGATGATGACTTGATGGTTGGCCATTGGAAGAAAGGAGGCAGTATGATGCCCTCTGTCCCAAGGCTAGTAGAACAGCTTGACTGGGAATCCAGAGACTGAGTCACCCAAGTGAGCCATGCAGGGCTGGGATCATCATCATCACTCATCGGGGAGGGGAAGATTAGGGGAGAAGAAGGCTCTGGTTGAGGCCTTCTGATCTCCCTTCCTTCCAGGCAGCTCCTTTCATCCAGTGTAATAGGACTAGGAAGTCAGTAGGGAAAACTGGGATTTCGAGAACTCCCCAGGGAATCTCTTGAAGTCATGGGAGCCCCCAGCCTTACTGTTCCAACTCCTACCCCATCCTCTGGCCCAGAGAGAAGGGACAGGGTCTGCCCCCTCTCCACCTCCCCACATTGGCGCCTCCTGGGCTCTGCTGTGCCCACTGCTTGTGAGGTTGGCTCAGGCTTCTCCCTCCTTCCTCTCTTCCTTTGCTAAAGGCCACCCCACTTTCAGTTTAGAGGGCAACTAAGCCAAAGCCAGATTAGAAAGGGTTTTGTGTTGCTGCCCACAGCTCCTCTCATTCCCCAGAAAAGAAAACAAAGGCTCAGTCTATCTGAGCCCCTGTCAGGTGTCCTGCCCACTCTCTCAACCCCCACCAACCCCTTGCCTCCTCCAGCCCCCACACATTCCAGTGGGTGGTGGCACCGGATGTGGAGTCTCCAGGCTGACCTAGAGCTTTGGAATGGGGAGTGAAAGATTCATCCTCAGCCAGTGAGAGAACAATTATAATTATGGGGGGAGGGGGGGACCAGCCATGGTAGTAATGGTATCAGATGCCAGCACCTTGATTGAGGACGAAAGGAAAACCATTGCCTCAAGCAAAAAGCAGGGAGTGTGTGTGTGTTCATTCATCTGTGTGGGCGAAAGGAGAAGGGTTGGGAGACACTGAGAGCCAAGAAGAGGCCACTGGGATATCCTCTTTTGACCTAGGCAGGGTTCCTGAGGAGGGGGTTTGCATTCTCAACCCACCCCACTTAGGGAGGGACCCTTTTTTTATTTTGCCTTTCCAACTTTTTGCACACATCTGTGGGCTTGCAATCACTGCCAGATGTGTCCCTGCTGCTGGATTTTCCCAGCTTCACCACACCCCCTTTTCCCTCCCAGCTTCTTCCTCAGGGATATCCCCTCAGGTTAACCCTCCCTTCCCCCACCAGCTGCAGAAACTCCTTTGGGAGTAGGACATGGTATGCTTCCAGTCAGCTCCCAGCTCTGCTCTCCTGGGAATCCTGGGAGTGGGAGGAAGGAGCAGGGTTCATTTGCATGTATTGGTAGTCATCTGTATCACATCCAAGAATGGTTAAAATCAGGAGATTTTTCCCCAGCCAGGGCTCCTGGCTGCCCACTACTACTGCAGTGGAGTGTTAGTGGACTCCTGACTCCCTCCCACTACTGCAGTGGAGTATTAATCCTGGAGACCACCCCCACCACACTAGTTGGGTGAGCTGACCTCCTCCCTTCTCCAACCCTTAGTGTGGCCCAGGCCTACATGAACCAGAGAAAGCTGGACCATGAGGTGAAGACCCTACAGGTCCAGGCTGCCCAATTTGCCAAGCAGACAGGCCAATGGATCGGGATGGTGGAGAACTTCAACCAGGCACTCAAGGTAGGCCACACCCCCTGCCCCCATTGGCTGCCTCTTTAACCTGTGTTAAAGAGGAAGTAGAGATGGCCCCAGAAACCCCACCTGTGGCCCTAGCATCAGAGAGGCAATAGGAAAAAAAGCAATTGTTGGGTCCAAGAACAACCCTTTCTGAGAGATGGGTACAGAATGCCCGCAGGCTAGGAACCACACTCTACCCACCCCTCTCTGCCTTCCCAGGAAATCGGGGATGTGGAGAACTGGGCTCGGAGCATCGAGCTGGACATGCGCACCATTGCCACTGCACTGGAATATGTCTACAAAGGGCAGCTGCAGTCTGCCCCCTCCTGACTCTCTTCCCCTCTCCCCGCCCTTACCCCCACCTCACCCAGCCAGGAGGCTGACAGGCCATGAATAAAATACAAACTCCATTACTATACAGTGTGTTTCCAGGAGCTACTAGCTGGGTGTAGGGGTGAGAATGTGAAGTCCAAAGGTTGTTTCCCTGAGTGACAGGAACCTTTTGGGTAGAGAGAGGAACTAGCATCCTCTTACTACCCTTACTCTTTCCTACCACCTGGTGAGGTGGCTGCCGGGTTAATCTGAGCATGGAGCTTCCCATGCTTTCTCAGAGAAGGGCCTAGTGGCCACTGCCCAGGCTTCCTGGTCATTACTTCAGTTTCCCACACAGGAGAAATAAGACAGGGAGCAGGCCTGGCCCCAGCTTTGGCTCTCTGCCTCTCCATGTGCTCGTGGCCACTCCCAGGCTGGTGCTAAGCAGTGTCATGGGTCTGGGCCAGGTGGGAGATTAATTCTTAGGGGCACTTCAGGCTGAAAATGGGGAAGAATGACAGGTCCAAGGCCACCAACAGAGACGAGCAGCTGCCATCCTTGACAGCTCCTTCCCCTGGGAGATCATGACATTGGTGGTCAGGAACCCAGGCTGAGAAAGATAGCCAAGGAGGCCTGAGCAAGTCTGGCTTCTGCCGAGGCCTGGCTTCTGCCAAGCAAGCCCCAGTCTCCCTGGCTCCTCCTCCTCAGCCCTCCCCCTCCACATCGCATATACGCTAATACTCCTGGCACCCAAGTCCACCCACTCTGGACTTTAGCCTTAGTTGGAGCTAGTGTGGGAACCCGGGAAGACTAGAAGCAAAGTTCTTTAAACAAAAGTAAAAAGAAGCAGCTTCAAGCTTTGTAGTACTTGCCAGCTTTCCCCAGCAGAGGTAAGTGGGATTCTGGGAGCTGGGGGTGCTCTGAGGAGACTAACTAGATGTTATATGGATTGGTAACTCAAAGCTTTGAGCTGTTAACCTGCTTTCTCACACACTGACCCCTTCAATCCTTCAGGACTATGAGGCAGACCTGGGGTTAGCCCCACTTGGTAGATGAGCTAACAGTTCAGAGACACAGAGATACTCAGCATCACACAGCAAGTTTGGGACCCTGGCTCTAAAGTGCAGGGCGCTTGGCTCTGTGCATGGTTCCAAAGACAAGGCCCAAGCTATGTACCTTTAGACAGTTCGGGTGCTCCTGGGTTTGTAGGAGAGGTGTACAGCAAACAAGAAGGCCCTCTGCTCCCATGCAGCAGGCCCACAGCCTGGTTTTAGCCACAAATACAAGGCCTGCCTACATCTTTGCTTGATGCAGATGTGCCCGTTTCAGTTTGCCAGCTATCTGCCAAGCAGATGATTTCTCAGTCTGCTCCCCAGACACTGCCAGCTAGGGAGGATCTGAGGGGCAAGGGCTTGAGGGCCAGAGTGAACTGGACCAGTTTCCCTGCCCAGCCTAGGCTGCCACCTGCAGGTCACTTGGGCTCCAGCCATGTGGCTGCCTGTGCTGCTCGGTGCCCTGCTCTGGGCAGTGCTGTGGCTGCTCCGGGACCAGCAGAGACTACCCGCCAGCGATGCCTTTGTCTTCATCACCGGCTGCGACTCGGGCTTCGGGCGCCTTTTGGCACTGCGACTGGACCAGAGGGGCTTCCGGGTCTTGGCCAGCTGCCTGACCCCCTCAGGGGCAGAAGACCTACAACGAGTGGCCTCCTCCCGCCTCCACACCACCCTGCTGGATGTCACTGATCCTCAGAGTGTCCAGCAGGCAGCAAAGTGGGTGGAAACACATGTGAGGGAAGCAGGTATGTGGAGCCACCAGGACCATGGTGCAGGGTGTTCCTAATCCTGCAGGGACCCCAGGAGTAACTTGCAGGGGCCATGAGCAGCTTCTTGGGGAGGAGCAGTGTGCTGATCCAGGAGGGAGGGGGCTGTGGGGTTGCCTCACCTACTCCCAGTGTCTGTCTCATCTCCCCACAGGGCTTTTCGGTCTGGTGAATAATGCTGGTGTGGCTGGCATCATTGGACCCACACCATGGCAGACACGGGAGGACTTCCTTCGGGTGCTGAATGTGAACACAATGGGTCCCATCGGGGTCACTCTTGCCCTGCTGCCCCTGCTGCACCAGGCCCGGGGCCGGGTGATCAACATTAGCAGTGTCCTGGGTCGCCTGGCAGCCAATGGTGGGGGCTACTGTGTCTCCAAGTTTGGCCTGGAGGCTTTCTCTGACAGCCTGAGGTGAGGGGTGCAGAGCTAGGTTCCAAGCCCACAGGCAGCCCACTCAACAAGCAAATCAGTGCCTCCCAGCACGGGCCTGCCAAAAGGGCTAAGAGCAGACCGTTTAGGGCCAGATTTCATGGGTTCAGATCCCAGCTTTCTCTCACACAAGCATTGTGACCTTAAGTAGATTATTTCTCTATACATGTCTTTTGTTTTTGTTTTTCAGGTTTTTGCCATAGGATGTGTGTGCTCACTGTGGGGGGAGAGAGGGAGGGAAAGTGAAAAATCCCCCCAACCCCAGGGATGGTCCTATTATAACTTCTTCCATTCTCCTGGAATTCTGGGCATGTATGTACACATGTCCAGCGTAATTTTTTTT